CCAAGATGTTTCTTTGGCATATTGATTTCATTTCCTTTGGATATGTACCCAATAGTGGGATTGCTAGATCATGTAGTCCATTTTTAATTAAAATAACTATTAGCAAATATTTGTAGTAAGTGCATAATGTTTACATTCATCTTATGGAGTAGCTGAATGTACTTATCTTGATTTCTTTATATTCTCCTTCCCCTCTCCTACCTTTTCCCTTCCCCCATCTCTGGATTTCTTCCCCCCATTTTCTTTTTGATTCATGTTTACATTTTTAATTTTTTGAAAAATGTCTGGTACTATTTTCTATAATGGCTATAATAATTTAGATTCCTACCAGCAATGTGCAGGCTCCTTTCCTCCACGTTCTCACCAGTGTAATTCTCTTTTGCTGTTTTTGTTCAATATGACTTTGGCTCTTTGGTATTTTTTGTGTTTCTATACCAATATTAGGATTGCTTTTTCTAGCTGTATGAAGGATGTCATTGATAATTTGATTGGGATTGCATTGAATCTGTAGGTCACTTACAAACCTGAATATAAACATGAAATCTACACAACTTACCTTACAATCAGATATTTTGGGTTCTAGACAGACTAGATCATATATACAGACTACACGAGTAGACTATACATACTTGTGTGATGCTTTAGAATACAAAGCAGTTTGAGAAGGATAGGTCTCAAGTTCATTATATGCTGTTCTGAAGTTGTCCTGTATCCTAGTGAGCCCTTTCCATCATGGCTAGCTAAGCCACAACATTTGGAATTTCTCATTTCACCTTATTTTTTATACCACTGATTTTATTTTATTTTTTATCCTGCACTGGGGGTCAAACCCAGGACTTTGTCCATGCTAGGCAAGTCCTTTATCAATGAGCTGCATCCCTAACCCTACAGATATTATTTATAAAGTTCATTAACATCATCATTTGTAGTCCTCTATTGCTGATAGACATCATAATTTTATTCCTCTATCTCAATGGAAAGGCCTTGTAAAATGGAAATATTTTAGTGATTGTATTATAACCCTCACTTCTGCTCACATGACAACATCCCTTTACATCCTTTCCCTTCATATTCTACTCTAGTCTAACTAGGTTGGGTCCCCATGTGGTCTTTGAGCCTGTTTCCAAATAATTGTTCCCACATATATTTATCTTTAGTTCTATACAGTTAGCACTTAAGCATTCCTGTTTCATGCACGTTAAACTGTAGGCTTCGTGATAAGTGGAACTACAGTTCCTCACAGCATGTAACCTTAGGCTGTAGCACTCAACAAACATTTGTTTACTAGCTGTGAAATGTATCTGATGTGCAGTTGTTGGATTTTATTAGCTTATGACCTATTTAACATTGAACCCTCTGTTAACATAGTTGTCTAAAGGTGAATATTACAACTATTTTCATTTACCTTGGCCTTGAGAGTGTGATTATAAGCAACTTTGAATAACTTAACTATAAAAAGTTTTTCCTTTATTCCACCACAGAATCTTCTAATGGAATTCCCATTCATCTCTTCCATAAGGTTCTACATTTTATAATTGTAATATTATCTAATTTACTAAACAGCCTAGAGCATCTTTCTTATATTTTAAATTCTGTCTATTTTAATCCTAGCAGTAGGTTTAAATCACGTTTGTTAACTTTAGTATATATTCTGTTTGTTGTTGTTGTTGTTTGGTACCGGGGATCGAATAGGATCCTTGTGCTTGCGAGGCAGGCGGTGGAACCACTGAGCTAAATCCCTGGCCCTTTAGTGTACATTCTGTATTAGAAATTGGTGATTAGGGATATAAGAATTTATTTATTTACATGAATTTCTTGTGTTCTTATTTTGCAAAAAAGACACCTATCAGCATTTAACTTGTTTATTCCATCAAGTATTATAAGAAGATAGAGTTGTGCCCAAGGAAAGAGTAACATTTGGTCAAGTCATTATCCTACTTCTGAAGGCACCATCATCATATTAGGCATTTTAAAAAAGAATGAGACTCTAGCTTTTAATTGTCGTCAGCAATACCATTAGATACTGTTTGGTGGAACCATGCTGATTTAAAAGTGAATGTCTTTCAGAAGTCAGATACCAATTATGACTTCATTTGGTACCCATGTAAACTTTTTTGTGGGTTTTTTTTTTTGAGATAAGATCTTGCCATGTAGTTGAGGCTGGCCTTGAACTCACTATGTAGCCCAGGCTGGCTTCAAACTCATGGTGATCCTCCCTCCTGCCTCAACTTCCCAAGTGCTGGGATAACAGTCATGTGCCATTAGGCCTGGCTCCCCATTTAAATTTGTTCCTTTAATTCAAGTTAGTATAAAAATCTATATGTGTATGTTTACTTTACATATGTAAAAATGCTGTTAATTGATAATAATATAAATGGGGTAGGTAATTTTTATCAAAAGGCAAGGACAGTTATTTGAAATTACCAGGTGAAAAGTTTGTTTCCTTTGTGAAATAAAAATGTTATCAGATTATAAATACTGGACTCATTTTGTAATATGGATAATGATGTAAACTTCATAAAGTTTCTCTGAGAGTCCATGAATTAGACTCATTAGAAAGCTATAGAATCAAGAAAACACAGTGTTGGTGAAAGAATAGACACAAATCAATAGAATCTAAAAATAGGTTCACACAAAAATAGAGAATGGATTTTTTACAAAGGTGGGAAAGCAGTTAGTAGAGAAATGATAACTACTTTAAAAGTGGCAGTAGAAATATTGGACAGCTAAAAACAACAAAAAAGGGAAGTTCTACATCTATATTCAAAACAGTGAACACAGCGAATCTCAGCCAGTCATCACATATACACAAATGAAGTAAAAATAAATGACTTATTCTTCCCTTGTCTGTCTAAAAATGTGTTAGAAATTCTCGCAATTAGGTGATAGAAGAAATAGAAGTCATTCATACTGAAAAAGAAGTAAAGCCATCTCCTTTTTGAAGATGACATAATCTCTTATATAGAAAATCTAGTGGAACCCACCAAAAGTTAGTAGAGCTAAGAAACAAGTTCAGTGAAGGTGTAGGATGTAAGATCAATTTACAGAAGTTACTGTATTTCCAAACCCTAGTAGTTAACAATCTGAAAAGTGAAATAAGGAAATAATTCATTTTCTACATTTCATTAAAAGTGTAAACTTCAAACCAGGTGGGGTGGCGCACGCTTTTAATCCCAGCAGTCAGAAGGCTGAAGTTCGAGACCAGCCTGGGCTACATAGTAAGTTCCAGGTCAGTCTCAACTATGTAGTGAGACCATCTCAAAAAAAAAAAAGTATAAACTTCTAGGTAATAAATTAATCCAAGAAGCGGAGTATGGTGTGTCAGCACATAGTCTGAGATGCTTAGGGGGCTGAGGCAGGGGTTGCTTCAGTCCAGGAGTTGTTCATTGCCAGTCCTGGCAGCACAAGATTTGTAGCTTATAAGAAAGAAGTTGTGACTTGAAAATGCAAAACAACATTGAAGCAAGTTACACAATACCTAAGAAAGTGGAAAGGAATCCCAACTTCTTGGATGAGAAGAGAATACTATTTTTTATTAGTAGATGCTTACAGTACATAATTATTACAGTCATCATAGGGAGTTGGCACATGTACATAATACATCTTAATTCCTTTTTTCTATCCCCTATCCTTATCCACGCTCCCTGCTCCTTCCAAGTCTTGAACACCCTCCCCATTTGTAAATGATCTAGTGTCATCATTTTCCCCTTTCAATTCTTTTTCTCCTCCCCTCTATCTCCCTTCCCTCCATCTCTTATTCTCATCAATTTGAAAAAGATCTCCATATTCCTTGTTTATCTTCTACTTTGCTCTTTCTCTCTCCACACACACACACATCTCTCTCTCTCTCTCTCTCTCTCTCTCTCTCTCTCTCTCTCTCTTTCTCATATAAGAGAAACCATGTGATATTTAAGCTTGTTCGTCTGACTTATTTCACCTAATATGGTCTCAAGTTGCATCCATTTACCTATGAATGCCTCAGGTTTATCTTTCTTGATGGCAGAATAATGCTCCATTGTGTACAAATACCACATTTTCTTTATTCATCTGTTGATGAGCATATAGGCTAATTTTCAAGTTTTAGCTGTTATACATTGTGCTGCTATAAACATGGGTTTGCATGTCTGTAACATGAGAAGATTTACTATTGTTCAGATTGGAATAGTTGCCTGTTGCAAGTTCCAGGACCCAATTGGTCCCCAGAACAGTGCTCAAGTCCCTTAGTTAAAATGGTGTAGTATTTACATATAGTCTGTGCATATCTTCTCATAAACTCATCTCTGAATTACTTAGAAGACCTACTACAATATAAATACTGTGTAAATAGTTGTAATACTTTATCATTTGGGGAATAATGACAAGAAAGGGGTGCTCAGTATAGGACCACCCATCATAAGCCTTTGAACAACATAGTTGCCTAACAATATTCAAACAATGCTGCAGAGAAGCCGAGGATCTATAAAATTGTAGGAGGCTGTAACAGGATATGCCTACACATTGCTTCACATAGATTCAGAGTGGTGCTCAATGTATGGCAAATTCAAGATTTTCTTCCTGGATGTTGCTTTTGCTTTTTTCCTCAAAAAATTTTTCAATCCATGGGTGTGGAATTGAGTCCATGGATGTAGAATCTATAGATGGGAAGGTCTGGCTGTCTTTCCTACATTGACCTACAAATTCAGCTTACTCCCTATCACACACGTATGTGACCTTTAGCCCTAGAAATTCACAAAGTGTAGGCAAGAGAATTACATTTTGTTGGGTGCAGTGATCTAAGAAGGGCAGTACATCTCATTGTGTATAGAAAGACAGGGAATTCATTTGCCATCCCCTAAGATTGTAATCTCTGCAGTTTGATTTGTTCCCATCCCATGTAACTTAATTCTTCTATGAATTCTACCTTTGATACCTTTCTTCAGTTATTACTGGAGTCAGTGAAAGCTCTATCAGAGCTTGGGATGTTTCCTTCAGTGATGCTTTTCTTTGTTTTCTCATTGTAGGGAAACTGAACAGTCAAGACTCTTACAATAATTTTACCAACAACAACCCTGGCAATCCCCGCCTCTCTCCTCTCCCCAGCTTGATGGTTGTGATGCCGCTGGCACAGATCAAGCAGCCAATGACATTGGGGACCATCACCAAACGGACAGGGTAAGGCCCCCAGCTCAATGCTACTTCACAGCTGTTTCAGAGGGTTGAAAGAATAAAAATAAAACATACTTTTTCTTTGTGTGGTTTTGATTATGTTCTGCATTTCCAGCCCATGTGAGCTGTCATGGCAGCAGATGAAGTACAGAGTATAGGATGTGCACAAACATCCTCACACACATCCATGTACACACACAGCCATGGAAAAAACAAAGTGGTGACAAGTTGTGAAAACGAGGATTGGGTAATAAAAACCAGACCCATCTTTACAGTCTTAACTTATTGCTTTATGGCACTGCCTTATACAGTTTAATTTTCTTTGTTTTTGAAGACATGATTGAGATTTAAAACTGTTCCCAGTTTTTGACATACCTGATAAGGAGAGCACATGCATCTATGTTTCTAGCACCATTTTTTTTTGGTACTGGGGAATTGAACTTGGGAACTTGTGCCTTGTGAGGCAGGCAGTGAAACCATTAATCTAAATCCCTGGCCCCTCTAGCACCTTTTGAAAATCATGTATATTGGAATTTAATTTACATATAATCTCTCAGTATCAAGACAGGGTGATGATACAGTTTTTAAAAGTTCTAAAATTGAGGCTTTTAGGTAGTTATTTAATCTCTTTGTGCTTATTTTAGCTATTTAAAGTGTTTATACCTGTTAGGAATATAAAATTATTTCTTTCGGTTTCTGGAAATAAACTCATATCTGTGATCTCATTAGGGATTCATTACATCATAACACTTAAAATGTATTTGGTACTTTAAAATAGGCAAATTACTGATTGTCCTCAGTGAGAAACTCTAAAATTAATCAGTTTGAAATGGAAAAAGTTCTATATTAAAATAAGCAGGTGTGTGGTGCATGCCTGTAATTCCCGCACTTGGGAGGCTGAGGCAGGAGGATCACTGAGAGTTCAAGGCCAGCCTGGGCTATATAGTGAGGCCTTGTCTCTCTCTCTCTCTCTCTCTCTCTCTCTCTCTCTCTCTCTTACACACACATACACACACACACACGTGAGAAGAAAACTGCTACTGCCCTCAAAGAGACCTCAGGATATTTCCAGTGAAAAGAACAGATTAAATTATTTTGCTGCTACATCAATATATCTTAATATTGTCTTGCTATTGTTAAAGGTGTAGAGAAGTAATTTCTGTGAGAAGTACTCAGTCTTTATAGGACTGAGTCCATTGGGCCACAGTATCACTGTAACAGAAATGGACCCTCATACTAGGTGTTGGGTGTAGTGATGTTAGCATAGAAAGTGATCTTATTGCTGTATGCAGAAATAAATTGGGTTTGTGTCATATTAAGGGAAACTAAAGGAAAGATTAGTTCAGGTTCATTTGGCCTATGTAGCTTTTCATTTAACTCGTTATGTTCAGTGAACGTATGCTTTTGAATAGAATTTTGACATGTTTGCTGTTTGTTTAACAGTTAACAGTAGTGGCTATGAATAGTCAAAAAATCTATACCCTTATTTTTATAGTTAACTTGTCTTTTCATGTTATGGTATTGCATTCTCTGGATCTAAAATCAAATACAAATGAGACTAAATACTAAATCAGAATTTTAAGGTTTTTTTTCACTTGCTGATATCAGCCAGGACATAATTGTGTCTTCTCAGTTCATCTCAACATTGCACAGTTCTACAAAATACTTAGGAATTTTTGCATGTCTTTCCTAGTCTAAGTGAGCGCACCTTCAGAGTACTAATTCTGCGTTCAGAATGAAGGGACTATAACCAGATAGTTTAAAAGTTTCCTGGAGACATGAAAGCATACTTTAATTTTGTTTCTAGTGTGTGTTTATTTGTTGTTGTTGTTGTTGTTTTAAACAGAGCTATGCTGTCTTGTAATGCAAAGATTTAGCTCTCTCTAATAATTTTTCCTAGTGGATGGCTCTGAGATTATGATGTACTTTTATGCATAAAGTGATGTTAGAATGTGACTTAAAATATTTGTGGGCAGGTTTGGGGAAGTATGTTTACTGTTGAATATATTAGAAATTTTCCATAAGAAGGAGAAAAAGTCTCTTACTCATTCCTTCTATCTTGCTACCCTCTTTTTCATTGCATTAAGATGATAGAACCAACCAAGACCTGGCATGTAAAGGTACAGGATCCCAGTAATGAATGTGACTGTACTGTCTACCTAGAATGTACCAATAAATTCAATTAAAAAAAAAGATAGATAGAACTGTTAAATCATCTGTTATTCTCCTGTGTTGCCAGAATTTATGAACTTAGATAAATTCTATTTTCTTTTCTTTTTAAAATCTTGCTAGAAGTTCTCAGATTTTTGGAGAATTCATACTGTGTTCCTTTATATATAATTTAATAATTACTAATGAATGAAGTATTATGAATTAAAGTGCTTTGAGATTAGAATTAGTGTAAGATATTTGTAATACATTATTGAGTAGGCTTTTTATATCAGTTTTCAAATTATATTATTTCTGTTAAGTTTTAAAATTCCTTTTATCAAGATGGGTATGGTGCTGGGCGTGGTGGCGCACGCCTATAATCCCAGCACTTGGAAGGTTGAGGCAGGAGGATTGCTGTGAGTTTGAGACCAGCCTGGGCTACATAGTGAGTTCCAGGTCAGTCTCAACTACATAGGGAGACCCTGTCTCAAAAAAACCCCCCCAAAAAAAAAGATGGGTGTAGTGGCACATGCCTGTGGATCCCAGTACTTGGAAGGCTGAGGCAGGAGGCTCACCATGAGTTTGAGGCCAGCCTGGGATACTTAGTGAGTTCAGGGCCAGCTTGAACTACAAAGTGAGGCCCTGTCTCAAAAAACAAAACAAAACAAAACAAATATTTCTTTTTAATTATGTTCTGTATTCTAATGCTCAGAGAGAATAATTCATACTTGTCATATTTGGCTTAAAATTTTTTGAAATAATTTCAGGCTTATAAAAATACTGCAAGACTAGCATAAAGAATTTCTGTATCCTGTCTCTTAGCAATTTTAGTTTAATTGCTGTGTTTTTCAGATTTTTCTCACTGTGTGTATGCACTAACATACTTTTCCTACTTATCTTGATATATGTTACAGACTTATTATCCCTTTTTTCCTGCATTCTTTAATGTATAATATCTGAAGGCAAGAATATTCTCTTACCTAACCACAGTAGAATTATCATGAGATCTTAAAATGAGTATTATTAGTTGGTTTTTAAATTAAAAATAATCGAATACTTTTTACAGAACTTCAGTGTCTACAAATTATGCATCCGACTGTTCTTTTTTTTCCCCTTCCCATTTATTCTTTTTATGATTTCCTAGCAATACAGAGTATAGTGACGATGAATTATTTGAAGATAGTGGTTATAATTTATATTTGACCACTGCTGGATTTCAAGACTTTGTGCATTTATGCCAACGCTGAAGTGTTTCAGATTCATATTTGACTTTACTTATCGTAGCTGCACAAAGGGTCTTCAGAATATGATTTTTGTTTTTTTGAAATTGCACTTCTTTTTTTATAGCAATAACCATGTTATACTTCTATAGCAGAGATTTCTAAGAATTACCTGGGATCCAGTATTCACATATCCAGATTGGGGTAGAAGCCTCAACTTAAACCTTCAGGGGACAAATGTGTGTTTACCATATTTAACATCTGTCTTCTTTTTACAAATATGTATCCCTGAAAGCCTGTGCAGCGTCAGAGACCATATGTCTCACTCCAAGACATCCAGTGAAACTCAAAATGGCAAAGGCAGATGTATTTACACCTTCTTGGTCAGTACCTCAAAGCAGCTCTTGGAGGAAAGAAGGCCTGTGCTGGCAGGAGCTGCTGTCCATGTCTGATGATGTGAATGGGTGAAGGCAAAGGAAGCGCTAGAAATTATGTGGCTTCAACAGTCACCCATTCAAATAGAATCCGTTACCAGTCAGAGGCAGTTGGATCAGCAAGCCCAGCTTACTACATTGTTGTGTTTTTATCATGCAGAAATATGGGTAGCTCTTCTTATTTATTTAAAGTGAAGTTTGGTCCTAAAGGATTGCTCTGTTTCTTGGACTTCAGGATTTTGTGGTAGGATTTTTTTTTTTCTGATACCAGGAATCGAACTCAGGTCCTTGTGCTTGCAAGGCAGGTGGCAGAACCACCAGGCTAAATCCCCAGCCCTTGTGGTAGGAATTTTTAAGCAGTATTTCATAGGTATTTGATTGGATTAATGAATCAAATGAGCAAAAAGTTTTTTGAAAATGCTTTTGACATAATAATGTACAGAACAAAAATTTTCATCAAGGTACTTACATTGTTTCAGATCTAAAATATTTTTATACACATTAGTTTTTAAACTTAATGTATTTTTGCAGTACATTCATTTTGTGGAATTGGTACACATACATATTGTATCATGATCATGTGTAATCTCCCTTTTCCTACTTCCTGTCCTCCTCCTCCTCTCCAAATCACCTTCCCTATCTCCAAAACACCTGTTTCCGACCATCTCTTCTTTCTTTTCCTTTTAAAATTATTTATGTTTTGCATTTCTTGTACAACAGATACCACTTATATTTAACTTTTATGTTGGATTTATTCACTTAGCATTATAGTTTCAAGACCCATTCACTTTCCTACACATGACTGGAATTTATCTTTCCTTATGGCTGAGTGGCGCTCCACTATTATATACTGTACACATTATTTTGTTGGCACAGCAGACAACAGTAAATGTCAGAAAGAGGTTGAAGTGTTTCATGGGAATAGAAAATATCAAAACTGAGAATTACAGTTATGTAATTGCTCATAACTAGTTGAACATTTTTGGAATTAAGCATACTATGATTTATTCTTTCATAGGTCCTCTTTTACTCAAATGTGTGTAGTTTCCCACTCCCTATTCCTCTCCTCACTTTTATATTTATTCATTTCTTTATGAGTAATTAGGAATAGGTGTTAGGAACCTTGGGCCCCATTCTGTAGAAATATAACAGACAGTACAGTAGAAAGACACTGAATTAAGAATGGGAATCAATAAACTCAGTTAAAGCTGGAAAAAAAAAAAGAATGGGAAGCCCTTGCTTCACCTCTTAATTCTGCCTCATAGGATCATTTGTGTCTTAAAAAAGTTTCTTCGTCTGAAATTTATCTATCCTTCCATCCTTCCCTTGCTCCCTTCTTCCCTCCTTCTTTCTCTTCCTTCCTCCTTTCATCCATCCATCATCTTTTGACCTTAGTATATATGGGTCCTCACCAGTTGTTTGATCCCATTGCCTCATTTCTAAGCCTCAGGCACTATTGAGCACCCCCTGAGCTAGGGCTGAACACAAGCCCTACTTTGCCTTTTTTTAGAAAAGGAAGCAATTAATAGCATTTGTTTGAATGTTTCCAGTTGATATTTACAAAGCAAATCTGTTATCAGATCTTGTTATGTAAGTAAATAATATTGACACATAAAAGCCTTGAAGAAGGTTCATTCCTTATTTTAATTCAATTAGGCTCTTCTTGGCTTATTTAACTGATAGCCCTAGTCCTTACAGGCAGAGTTTTAAAGAACCACCAGATAGACCAGCAGATGATAAATCCCACACCTCCCATCTCTGTCTTATGTAACTGTTAGTTCTTGATAGCTAAACTCTGAGTGTTTGGTTCCAGATAGAATATAATGGTCAATGTATTTTCATTAGAATACATATACTTATGTATACATTTATATCTATTATAGTTTGAGTTTCCAAGTTTTGTGCTCAGTAGAGTACTGAAACCATACCATAGTTTATTTTAATGTGAGTCTAGGGATTTTTAAAAATGAAATCTGCTATAGAAGTCAGTATTAGTATTAGAAGGCAACAAGCATGACATCCTGCAGAAATTTGACATTATTTATGCTATGCTAGTCTCTTTTCTGTCTCATGTGGCAGAATTCAAAAATTATCTAGTATTTTCTAATGGAAATCTTTTACATCTTGAGTTTGCAATTTTAATTGGCATGTCAAGTATGTTTCAAATTACACAATTGTCTGTTTCAGCTTCAGTTTTCCCTATACATCAGTAGATTGAGAACCAACATAGATTTCTCTGGTAAGGAGCAACTGAAATTTAATTAATGAAAAAATTAAAACTTAAAAATGACGAGGATTAATTTGCTCCTATGCATGTAGGAAATGTGAGTTTTCTTCAGTTGCTTCTTAAGAGAAGACACACAGAATGTAGAAGGTATTAGAGTTCCTGGAATTTATTTTGAAAGCAATACAGCTTCACTTCAGCATTTTACATATACTGTTGCATAGCTTTTACATTTATTATTTGTGTGGACTCATTTTTATGTCTGCTTTGTAATAGTTCCTCCTCACAGAGCGGGATCAATTGAAAAACAGGATTTATAGGGTATATTTATAGAATTCTTCTCTCAGACTGCAGATATTTATTTTACTCTGAAGATGATTGTATTAATAGAATCATTAACCTTTTATCATGAGAGGCAAGGTATAGATAAAGGTTTAAGAATGTTCACATGAGATAAGGTCTTTTTTCACATTAAAAAAAAAGCCCTATATTTGCTGTGAGTAGAACCAAAATTGTTGTGCTGTTATATGGTATTCAACATGATTTACCTACTGTAAATCATAACTCTCTCCCATCTTCTTAAAAATTCCATGAGAATTCCTTTGAACACTAATGGCTAGGTCATTTCACAGTGGCCTGTAAAGAATTGTCTAATAATTGTTGCTAGCTTTTTTGTTTCTTAATCTAGTTTTTCCTAGGATTTAACACAAAACGAACATAATTAGGACATAGTGAGAAAACTTCATATGGCAGGATTGTTAAGCTTGCTGAAGTTTAATATTGATTGGAAAACACAAAATCTTCTGACCCAAATATAATAATTTGAGTTGCATATGTTAATATTGTCTATAATTCAGTGCACTCTAACTCAAGCTCTCTTTTCTGTTCTCCCCACCCCCATCCCATTCCAGTCTAAAAGTACAGCTGTGGACTTTTGAAGGGGGAGAAGAAAGTCATAGGTGAAGACAGCTGGATCATGGACTTGTACTTTGTGACTTCATATTTTCAGTCTTTTGCTACTGAGGAAAGATTAAATAAGCTTATTTCAAAAGAACAGCTGACACTAACTTTACAAAGTCAGTAATTACGTCAGTCACTATAATTCTTTGGAGTTGGTAGATTTTCTTTCACATGTATGTGGCAGAGGTCCAGTTTGTAGGGCTAGGCAAGAAGTGGGTGAATATAGGTTGGATATGTGCCACGTCTACACACTAAACCCTGTCATCCCAGCACTTGGTTTTTTTTTTCTTGAACTGTATCAGCCAGTGGATCATAGGGTAACTTTTAACTAATACAAGTGGGTTATGTTGTGAGTAGTGACTTGTCTTTAAAATCGACAGTGCTCTTATTTACTATAAGCCTGTTTATTGCAGTGTCTGGCGATTTATATTTTATTTTGGCATTGTGGGGCAAGGAAATGACTAGAGAAATCTCCTTGTTGTTATTGCCTGTGAAGGAAAATCTAGATTTTTTTTCTTTGTGTCATTTATTGAGATGACATGCTTCCATTTTACAAACAGTACCAGGTAGTTGAGGCTGGCCTTGAACACACTATCCTCCTGCCTCAGCTTCCAGAGTGCTAGTATTTCAGTCATGTGTCATCTCTGCTTGGTTTAACATTCTTTAAACTCTTGACAGTGAATGAGCTGTACTCTGTTAGATGTGGTGGGAGAGTGCCCCGTGCAGGTGCACTGTACACTAAAGAGCAACAGAGGCCTAGGAGTTCCAGATCGCAAGCATTTCTGTCAGAATCATTTACTCTATTTGGCATTCAGGTATCTTGCTTAAAGAAGTAAAATCAAAGACCCTAGCTACTATGTGCCAACAGAAACCTGTTCAGGTATTTCTGGGGATTTAGAAATGGCTTGAATCTCTCATTTTCTGATCATTCCTGCATGAGATCATTATGCTTGCTGTTGGAGATTGGACACCTCAAGTAGTCTTGGTTATTTAAATCTGTATTTTTCAAGGTGCAGGATGGGCTGTAGCAACATCCCCCCCGATATAATTAGTAAATTTTAAAATGAGACAGATTGTTACCAATATTTTTTTCTTTAATGAAATAGAATAGAATAAAATGCAGTTCTGTTATTTGTTCTCCAAACCAGCAGGAGTGGCATTGCCTAACAGCCTTCCAGAAATACAAACTCTCACACTCCAGCCAAACCTGTTGCTGTGTTACAACACACACTTATCTGCCCTTGTAACAAAAACTTGATATGGAAATAGAATGGAGTAGAGTTTATTACGTACAAAAGCAGTCATTATTCATTTAATAAAAGCATTATTGTTTCAACCTTGTGCATTTTCATGTACATACCAGCTTGCACCTTAAAATGTTTTTGTATGGGTGACAGTAAAAAACTTTTTGAATCCACTATTTTTAATGTGAACAATGATGTCATATTCCTGGTTGTATTTTTATTTAAGAGAGTGTGAAAGTGTGTGCTGCATGCATACATGTTCACACACACACACACACACACACACACACACACACACACACTTCTGCAGCCAAACCCAGAGCCTTGCTCATGCTAGGGAAATGCTGTCCCACCGAGCTACATCCACAGCTCCCTGGCTGTGTTCTTACCAGCAGCTGTGAGAGAGCTATCTTGATTTGCATTGATAACAATCTTTAAAGTTTTCTTTGCAATATCTCACTTTTCCTTCTATCTTGCTTTCTTCTAGTTATCTTTTGTATGTTTGCGTACCTTCTTTGAGTGCTCTCTACTTCAGGCTCAGAATTGTATTCATTGTTGTTAAAACATTTTGTTTAAGTTTTAATTTGTAGTCAGGTATGCTCAATTTATTGGAGAAATGGTTGCTAATTAGCAGGATTTTTCTTTTAAATGTTCTAAGTTTCAAATTTAAAGAAGGAAATAATGGAGTTTTACCAATGTGCTTTTCCCTTTTGTTTGTTGTCTTTCAAATGTCGAATGTTATAGTAAAATTTCATTTTGGATATAATTAAGTTACTGAGTCTTATTTGTGTGCAGATATGCACAGCATGTCTTAAATACCAGGAACATAATTTTGAGTAAAAGTGTGGATAACACTGAAGTTCCCAGTTGTATTTTAAGACATGTAATTGTAGCTTTAGTCAACCCAGCCCAGTGCAGACCAGGTAGAGGAGGATGAGATGTTGTACCACAAGTAAGAGACATGCTAACTTTCTGGGCTATGACCACAGATAAATAGAGAACAATCCTGTCACATAGAGTTAGTGTTTGCTCCTTTGGTCCACATTATGCAGTTCAACTTACTAGAAACAAGCAGCTTGAAAAATATGTGCTTACTTTTATGTCTGTGACACTGCTACCAGTGAACAGCAAACAACATCACATCAAGACTTTTATTCAGTCATCCCTTAGCTAGTTTTAAACATTTTTTGCCACATAACCACACACTGGGTGCTCTTCTCCATTTGATTATTCCATTTAATTTTTTACTTTGTTTTTAAAGGCTGAAACAGTGAGTTTTTTTAAAAGTTAGAAAAGTTACAGGGTTGTCTGAGAAAAGGGGAAACCTTTCAAACTCTGTGAAAATTAAGGGCCTTACACCACACACCATTCTGTTCATTGGTTACATCACACAGTATATATAACAGAATTGCAAATGATTACTACAAATGAAACTAACGTTAGTTATTTTGATACATACTCTAGAACAGTATGACATCATGTATTTGTTAATGTTAAATGAGTTTTCCTCTAATTTTTTGTGCATTTTCCCCCTTTTTCATGAAGGCCTTATCTCTTTGGAGCGGGATGTTTTTCCATAAAAGCTCCATGGTGAGTTGCCATTCAGTCCCGCATGCCTAATTCATTTGCTGTACTCTCAAAAAATAACTCTCTTTTATAGTTTTGTTTTCAGTTGCATGGCCTAATCACAGATAGATGCACCAATTTATTGAGTAATTGTAGATAAGACATAAATGTTGATCTTTAAGCTTTTGAAAAATTAGTTTTCTTGGTTTTATTTCATTCCTTGAAAATTTTTTAAAAGTCAAAATATATGTTTTAAAAAAAGGAAAATAAAAGAATTAATTCTCTCATAGTGCTGGTGGTTAAGACAAGGCTGACACCTGTGTTTAGAGTTTGAATATTATATTGATAGAAATTCCTTACATATCATGCTTAATGTAGAAGAGTTAATTTATTTTGAAATATAAATATACTTCATGTATAACAAATGTCCTATAAAGTTTTACTGTATTTTATTTGGTCCTAAAGGGACAACACTGAGTTCTGTTTTGAACAGTTTAGTTATTTAAGGAAATACATGATGAGGAAATACATACAGTATTTCATATAAAAACTCATAAATGATTTATTATTTTGCCCCTGTTCACTATAACTTAATTATTTAGTTAATTCTTAGAAGTACCTAGAATGTAGCATTGTCAGCCTTAGGCAAAATGACTATAGGAAAGAAATTGAATATATTTCATACTTGCATTTAAAATGTGAATTATAATCCATTTATAACTTGATATAAAGTGTTTTAATGGTTAGGAGTCAGGGCTCCAGAATCAAACTATCTGTGTCTTAAATACCAAAGTTATATGATCTTGGGTAACTTTAAAAAACTTTTTTATTTCTTGCTTTTCTTACTTATTAAATGAAATTAGTAGTACCATCTACCTGGGTAGTTTATTGTGAGGATTAAATGAATTGATAAACATACACATTTCAAATACAATAACCATACCTGACTCATAGTTAACCACTCATGAAGTGATAGCTATTCCTAGTTGTGCCTCTCACACAATTTAAGGAATAAATACCATGTTTGAAAACATGCTTCTTTAAGTTAGATTCTGTTATTTTCTTTTAGGAGATATAAGCAAAAAGGAATGTTTGAAAAATGTATGTTAGTTTTACTAAATTACAAAACCTAAAAGACTTCTGCACATGTAAGTGTAGTTATTTTAACAGTGACTGGGAATTGTCTGTTTCATCTTGTACCAGAAACAACTTTGTTTTCTCTTATGGACAAAAAGAAGCTTAAATAGTTCTTTTAAATTAATTATTCAGCCCAGCCTATTTTCAGTGTTCATATGCTAGTGGAAATACTGAAATTTTCATAATCATATAAGAATAAATGATACAAATAATTATAACATATTCTTCTTTGAAATGCAGCATCATAATTAGGCCAGAGTATGCACAACTGTTCTTAACAGTTTCAGTGCACTCATGAATATAAATCTTGTGAAAGTCTATTCGTTTTGTTAAGCAGATTTCTTCTAAAAATAAGTAAGTCACATGGACCTTAGTTAAAAACTTATAGTGAACAGTGAATTTTAAATGCTACATTCAGCATATGACAAAATTTCTTTGTATACTAAACAATTAAATTCCATTTTGGGATAAATTCTTCGTTCTAAGTACAAAGAACAGAATTTTAGTATGTTAATAAAGACTGAAGTTTTCACATAGAACTAAAAATGTTGTAACAAATGTTGTATGTTAAATAAGAAAAGTCCTTTCCCCCAACAGCTTGTGTGCTCCTTGCATTTAAGCAAAAGCACTTGTCAACCAGAAATGATTTGAGGTTGAAACAAGATTAAAAGAGCCAGATTAAAGAAAGGGATATATGAAATATAGTAGACTTTTAAATCATTGCCTGTCTTTTAGAAGACTGCTTTGTGGTTTGTTTGATGCCATCGTTAGCTCACAAGAAACTCGTTTTTAGTCACTTATTCTAGACTAAAAGGTCCTCCTTTAAAATACGTTACATTTCCAAGAGTGCATGTTTTTCCCATTAAGATCTTAATGAAACCTCAAATTAAGGCAGCAAAATGAATATAAATTTGACAACTTATTCCATGTTTTTTGTAAGAGCTCCTTTGTTTTAATAGTTTTTGATATTTTTCCATTCAACTTGAGAATGTTTTTATTTACTGTTCTGAAATAAAAAGCTATGCTGAATAAACATTTATAGCACTTCAGTTGTAGGATAATCTGTGTATTTTGGATACAAATGACGTTTATAATTTATCTTAAAATTTAAATTTCTTTTTAAAAATAAATTGCAAATCGCAGCATTTGTACTCTAAAATTTGCTTTTGGTATGTCAATTTCTATTCATTCTTTATTCTTCACTAATGGGGTTTAGTTCTATAAATTCATGCAGCCTCAGATGAGACATTTTTAAAATAGTTTCGTTCCCTTTGACATTGAGAGAGTTTGTTAGAAAGTAAATTGTGCAGGCCATTGGACATTGTAGTCAGTTTAGACTTTCCCAGTGTTCTGTATTCTCTAGGTCAGTGATGGCGAACCTATGCACGCGTGCATGGCACAGCTGGCTGTTTGGTGAACCTTTCACCATCACTGCTCTAGCTTATCCTTTGATTTTGAAGATCTGCATGAAGTATGAAAGAATTACATGTGAACATAATTAACTATAGACATTTAAGAGAAAAAAAACAGTACATTTTTTAAAGTTTTGACTTTAGTGTTACCAATGTATATGTAGTATTATGTAAATAGCTTTGGTAAAATACTTATATGCAAATAACAGATGGATAGGAAATAGTCTGTATGAAAAATCCTCTCAATATTGTGGTTGTATTTAATAAGGTTAAATTTAAAGAAAAGTTAAAATTTATATATCAAATTATATTTAAAGCTTTAATTAACATTTATAACTTGATTATAATGTAAATTTTCTGGAGACTACTTTAAAATTTTACCATTTTAAAATGATAATATTAATTTTATGTAAATCTGTTAGAGCTTTAGGAATAGTTTATGACAAAATAGAATACTTTTATGAAAATTATTAATATTTTAATTATTTATCATAAAATATTTCCAGTTTTCTTCAAGGTCTTAATTTTAATTGCAAATCTAAGTGTTGTGTTTTGTGTGTGTGTGTGTGGTACTGGGGATCGAACTCCGATCCTTGCGCTTGCGAGGCAGACTCCGGAACCACTGAGCTAAATCCCCAGCCCTCCATGGTCTTATTTTAGAAAATAAAATTGAGAATGAGAAAACTTCTAAGTGCCTTTTAAGAGTTTAATCATAGACGAATATAAAGAAAATAATTTAACTGAAAACCATTATACATCTTAGAATTCTGAAGTTGATATTGTGTTACATTTAAACTGAAATATTGACTGTTCACTAATGTTTTTGAAAAACAATGAATTGGTGCTTCTATCTCAAGTTCCTTCCATGCTCGTGTCCTTACCACCAAGGCACCAGGCTGCATAACTGCTCATCATGTCATCCATATTTACACTGCATACATCCTATCCTGTGGTACATAGTAAAATTATCCAGGTGGAGAGCTTTGTCCTGTATGTTTTAAGAAGATATCAAGGCTTTTTGTGTGTGTGTTTTTTTTCTTGTTTGCAGCAAGAGAAATTCAATATGTTGATCTCACTGGATAACATAATTCAGTAAAAGACCAAGGGAGAAAGAAGGGGGGAACTTCAATAGCCTATATAAATATTTTTGAAATCCTATGGATATTAATATCTCTACACTTCTGTTGGCAGTAATTCACATTATATTGTTTGAATATTAAGCCTTTTTTCAGAAAAAAGTGACAGTTTAACTCCTGATTTTTAATTTAGCACCTTATTTAATCTTTGTTTTCATGTCTATTTTGTCATTAATTTTTGTATTTGACTTAGTAAATATGATGTTCTATGATCATCGATATTTTTCCTGCATGGTGAATGTGAGATTCATTCCATTTGTCTATTATGTTTGCCCAAATTGAAACCAAATTTACAATGAAAATTGAGTATGAGGTTATTTATGAAACATGCGAGGGAGTAAAGAGGCAGGAGAGTCTATCAGGACTATCAGTGTGTTTTGCTCTCATCTATGACCATTTAAAAAAAATGAATGAGTCCACATAATCCAGTTAAACTTCTTGGCACCAGTATAAATTAAAATAATCACTTATATCTTTATATTATCAGTTTAATAAATGAATAAATAAAGAGAAGGCCTTGAAACACCCGAAGGAATTCTTTCTAAGTTCATGTTCTCTAATAGGATTTGTTACAGCCTCTGTCACGGGAGAGATGATGAGAGCAAGAAAGAAAAAGTTAATAGTAGAATGCTTTCGTATAAGGATTGCGTCACCAACCTGTAAATTTACACAATTTACCAGGCTTTTTTCATTCACATGTATATCATTTTCAGTGTTTTCTTTCTGTCAAACAAAGGATGTTCTGCAATAGAAATATTCTGTGTCATTATGGAAAAGTCATAGGTAGTATGTCACACATATTAATAGAAAAGCCATTCTGGTCCAACCAAACGTTCGTGGACACTGTCTTTTTTTCTTTTTCTTTTTTTTTTTTGGTACCGGGGATTGAACTCGGGTCCTTGCGCTTGCAAGGCAGGCCACCGAACCGCTGAGCTAAATCCCTGGCCCGACACTGTCTTTTTAGAACAGAATAAAGGACAAATTGAACTAAACTTGAAATTTCTAACTTTGGGTATATCACATAGAAAATATTTTATTAATAAAATTCTTTTCATTAGATTATTTCTTTTTTACTCATCTTTAAGTCTTATATATCCATGCACATATTCTTGTTTCTATTTTGCCTAAATATCTAAATCATTTCATATGTAGATTGATGACAGCAATAACTAAATACGAATGTATTTATCCAATATGCTACCCCCTATTATACAGCACTATGACACATAGTGGATAGCAAGTTATTTTGAGGAATGTAAACTTGGTTCCTTATTAAACCTGAATTTCCACTGAGGACAGTGATTAAGACTCTGTCAGAGAAAGAAGAAGAAATGATGAAGCAGGAAAACACATGACAGTTCTTTACATAAATTAGGCATTCTTTTACCATAAAATCTTAGGTATTCTCTGTAGGAGATAGGGAGCTTGTGTAAAATGGCACTGTGTTGATGCTTTTTCACTGCTGTGTTTCAAAACTGAATTATGTGTAACTTACCAGAAGCCTGACATATTTTAGCTTTTGACATGGGCTTATTAGACTATAAGAATATATCTTATATATTCTTATATATAGACAAAGATACATAGAATATATCTTTGTCCAAAGACTTAATGAGGTCTTAACCATTTTTCTGTTCTCTGTGATTACATGATGGCCATCTAACCAGGTAGCAATTATTTGAAAGTCTTTTTATAGGCATACTTTAGAGGAACCATATCTTCTCTTAAATAATGACATACTCACTTTTTATCACTTGATTTAAAGATAATAACAAAAGTCACATCCACTAATTTGCAAAGAGCTTTGAATTTGTCTCTGTGAAAGTTTCTTTCTACATTGTAGTATCATTGTTCCCAGATGGTAATTCCAGTAAAAGCACATATACAATTGCAAACACCTTTCAAAATTTTTTGGAATGGTTTCTTCTTTCCTGTTCCTCCCTAGCCTGTGAAAACCCCTAAGGATTAAAAATGACCATTTAAAATTAAAAACTGACCCATTAAAAAGAACCAGTAGGACCACAGATGCTAGTTACAGGAAATTGTCTGCTCAATAATCGCAATTCAGTGATGAAAAACAAACAAACAAACAAACAAACCAGAGAGCATCCTAAACTGAAAGAGCAGTTGTGATTCCAGTGACCTGGGTAGCAGGGGAACGTGTGTGTTTGTTCAGGTGAAGTATGGGAGTCTCCTTTTCTGGAAGTAGGTTACTGCAGTTGTGACAGATGCAACTGAAAAAGGGAAACTGGAGAACCACATTCATTTTTCTACAGAAACTTAAAAAGACTGTGCCTTTATTCCACTCTCACTGGAAGTCTTACTGTGACTGCATTGATGTTTTAGGCCTGGGTGTGATTTGTTTGGGCAATAATACAAAGTGTTTAGCCAGTGTCAGTGCTGGAAAGAAGATGCTTTTTCACATACAGCAACGTGCATTGCTGTGGACTTGGCTCAAAGAGGAGGACCAGTGGGACCAATCGTGTAGCCTCTGGTCCAGACTTTTAATTCTTCTTCGAGGGAAGATGTCAGAACAGAAGCCTTCAGAAATAAGATACGTGAGAGATGATTTGAATTTTCATAGGAACTGAGAAACTAGATTACCAGAACAAAATCTGATTTTTAAAAAACTAGGTGAAAGCTGTCAGTTGTGTAGATGAGTGATAATGTTTGTTGAGTACAGTGATGTGGGAAACTGCATCCCTGGGAGCTTTACTTTTAAAATCAAATACAGTTGTTCTCAATCTTGACCATACATCAGAATCTCCTGGAGGGTTTGTTTAAAAACATAGTTTGATGGGCTTCAAACCCCAAATGTTTGGTTTAGTATACCTGGGATGGAACCTGATCAGTATTTATTTACCTGTAAATCTTAGAAGTTACTAAGTGTTATTACTAGCTAGAGACAAGAATTTAGAAACAACAGATACAACATACTTTTTAAGATAAACCTACAAGGTAGGCATTACCATTTGTATTTTCCATATTAGTAGCCTGAGCTCTGAGAGGTTAAACAAGTTAACCAGACATCACATACCTAATAAATGGTAGCATTGGGATTCAAATTGAGGTTTCTCCCTCATTCCAGAAACCTCTCTGCATCAAAGCACATTCTATTAAAAGATAAAGGGATAAAGTCAAGTGAGCAGTAAGTAGAAATCAGAGTGTGATGGTGCACACCTGTAACTCCATCTACTTATGAGGCTGAGGCAGAAGTATTGCTAGTTGGATCCCAGCTTGGGCAATTTAGGAAGACCCTGTATCAAGATTACAAAAAAAAAAAAAAGCCTGGGCATGTAGTTCAGTACTAAAGTGCTTGACTAGTGTGTATGAGGTCCTGGTTTCAATCCCCAAATCACATGCGCATGCACCCCTCCCATACACATGGTAAAACTGATATTGTTTGATGTTAGACCACCTGCATCCCTGGAACATCGAGGTGTAGCATTCATTTTATCCAATTAAGGCTGCGATCCTTAGCAGTGCACACTAAGCCTGTTTTTCTGGTCTCTGAATTACAGCAAGTAATTTATCTAAGGTAGTTGATAAAAATTCCTATGATCGAGTCAGGCGTGGTGGTGCATGCCTATAATCTCAGCACTTGAGGGGCTGAACCAGGAGAATTATCCTGAGTTCAAGGCCAGCCTGAACTACATAGCCGAAAAAACTCATAATTTTTTTTAATCTTAAAAAAACTCAAATAAAATAAAATAAATAAAATGTAAAAGTCTAAAGAGATTAGAAATAGTACTTGAAAGGAGATAAAACATTAGTATTTGAGGTTATGAAAATTTTGTAGTGGAGAATAAATAGGGAAGCAAGTCTTTTTTAATGAGGCAGTTGAAATATCAACAGTTCTTAGTGTGTCCTTGGACACAGAAAAAACAGAAGAGAATTATGTTAGAGAGGCTACCAATTTTAATATCTGCCTTGGCCCTTTTGCCAAACAAAAATACATTATTTTCACAAATCCTAGAAGAAAAAGGAGTAAGACCAATGACTATTATTTCAGTAGGTTAGATTTTCAAACTAGCATAGCATTGTACTGAGGACATGTTTAAAGTTTCATTCTGTATCATCTCATTTTCATACATTCTGTCTCCATTCATTGTATTAGCCCCATGTCTTATATATCAAAGGGAAATGATAATCCATTTATTATAGGGAGATGTTTAATGCTGGTACTTTTGCTCTATTTAAAAATCTCCTGGGAAATGTTACCCACCTGAAAAGAAGTAACTTAGATTTCACCAATAAGTACTTCAAAAAGTGTTTTTGTTTTGTTTTGAGATGGGGTCTTGTTATGTTGACCAGGGTGGCTTGAAGTCCTGGACTCAAGTGCTCAAGTGATGTTACTTACCTTTCCCCAGCCTCCTGAGTAGTTGTAACAGTAGATGTACCCTCTGCACCTAGCTAAGAAGTTTGTTTTTTATTGGTCATATATAAGTTCTCTTGTCCAGATGTTGGAACTTTGACTGTCGATTTTGCTGCAGAACATAATCTTACACCACCATTTATTATGCAAAATGCATGTCCTTATTTAGCATTTAAACACTTAAAGGTGGAACTGAAAGGAAAATCTTTCTCTAGAAGATTGCCATTTCATTACAGTAATTTTTGTTTACTGTCCTTTTATTTTTTTAAGCAAAGTTAAACCACCTCCGCAGATTTCACCCAGCAAGTCAGTAGGCGGAGAATTTTGTGTGGCTGCTACATTTGGGACATCCAGGTCATGGTTTGCTAATAATGCAGGTCTGAAAAGAGAAAAAGGTATGTATTTTTTTCTGAAGCTCACACTTGTCATTTGTAATTTTTGCTTCTTAGTGAGAATCTTGTACCAATTAGTCTTTTTAGTTTTTAGCAATAGAAAAATTTCCATTCAATTAACATGTCTCTTCTCAATTACTCAAGCCTAGTCAAGAAGAAAAATTTTTCTCTCACATAAACATGAATTTCCTTCCATTGACTGATTTTATCTTGGTTCGTTTTCTTGAAGGCAGTGTATAGGTGATCTCAGTGCTATCAATTCCATATCATTTCATTCTATAACTTTTATATTTTTACAAGTTAATTTGATACCATTATCCTTGAAGTATGGAGAAGAAAATCCTTGTTATCCCCATTTTAGAGATGAGGAACTTGAAGTAAGCAAGTGTAAATAGCTAAGCTAAAAACTTTAAGTACTTTTAAATGATGAAATTAGTTTGAAGCAATGTTTTCTCATGCTAAATCTTAAAACCAAACAGTAACAACTGTGCTGTGTATTTTTTAACATTATGGAAAAGCCTGTCATTAACAGTTAAATGAACTTTTGTTGTTAATGTTGCTCCTTTGAATTTTGAGTTATTATGGTTTTAATCCTTGCTTTGATTACTATAGTCAATACCTATAATGTTTGTATAATTAAAGTTTTAGTACATAATTCCTTATTACCTATATATGGAAGAGAATGCTTACTTCATTAACAAACTATGTAATTTTGAATGTTAGGATTTTTCCTTACTCTTTTAGTATTAAATTAGGTCACAAATTGGGTTGCCACTAGAGCACTTCTGGTGAGTTCCATAGCCTGTATTGTTCTTGGCAAAATGGCTCTGCTTTACGCTTAATACTGGCAGACATCAGCCTTTTCCCTTGTTATTGCCATTCAGTGACCCTTTCTCTAGTAACAGGATCTCAGGAACAACAGGTTCCTACCTAAGTGGGATAGGATACTGTAAAGTATGTAAGCCTTCCATTTCCTTATCTCATCTTTATTTTCTTTGTTACCTCCTTGGGTTTAATGATGCTATCGGAAAGACTTTTGTTTCTAGTTAAAACCTCTTGTGAAGCTCAATTTCAAATGCTTCTCTCTTCTGTTCTAATTACCCTTTTAACTTGCTACTCCTTTATGCCCCACTGGCTGGTCATTAGCCATTTTCTCAAATCAGCTGTAATTGATTCTCCTGACACAGAGATAAGATGACCCATCCAGCATTCATGAGTGATTTCTTAAATGCCCCTTGGTTTACTGTAAACCTGAGATTGAGCACTAAACCTGTTTTGCCAGTGAGTACATGTGTATTTCTTATAAAGTCATTCGATTAGATCCATATTTACCACCTGACTTCTCCAAGTATAGTTGACCTTCATTTATTATGGAAGCCAGTGATCCAGTTGAAAGAGAAGAGGTTGAATGAGGAGGATGCAGGTGTATGGATGTTTTAAAAACACTTTATCTCTTCTAGCACTTCAAGGTTCACAGCAAAATTGAGACAGAGGCATGGAGAATTCTCATCTACCTCCTGTACAGCACATGTATAGCTTCCTTTATTATGAACATGCCCGTCAGAGTGGTAGATTTGTTTCGAGTCATGAGCCTATCTTGACGCATCATGTGTTTTTGTTTGTGTTGATCCAGTAATTTGAGGTTTTAAATTTGTTTTCTGAGAAAAAGTAGCTGAGGTGAGGTGTTAGACTGATGTAGGTATGTACAAGCAGCCTCTCATGTAGTTCAGTTTATTTATCCAGTGTCACTAAATTTTAGTGCGTAGAGTACTCCTTTTCAGTTCTTCCTTGTTCCCCCAATATCATTCATTTTCCATAATTGGGACAAATCATATGGTAGACAAATGGAAAAAATATAAAATACTGTCAACTCTTAGAATTTTTAGCACATTTATATAATTCTTGAAATAATTGTGTATTATTTGAAAGTACTGTGATGGCATAAAGATTTTTATATGCATCAGCACCTACTTAATAAAAAGCAACCTTTAGGCAGGGATCAGGCACAATATAGCAGTTTCCATCTTTTCATTTCTTCTCACAGCCTGAGCTGAGGAGCAAAATGACAAAGTCAGTAATTTTTTTTAAAGGAAAAGATCTTGTTGTGTTCTTTTTTATGCCATTACCACACATACAGATCTTGTTTCTCTGTTTGTAGATCAGTCCAAACAGGTTGTTGTTGAATCTCTCTACATTATCAGTTGTTATGGTACCTTGGTGGAGCATATGATGGAGCCTCGACCCCTCAGCACCGCCCCCAAAATAAGCGATGACACTCCACTGGAGATGGTGACATCACCTCGTGCCAGCTGGACACTGGTTAGGTAGTGCCTTCTTTTTCTTCCTTTTTTTTCAAACAGCTTTATTGACGTCTGAATGATTAAAAATGTCCCACTTGATATAGTTTTGGGAAATGGTTATAGCGTGAAGTTGCCACTGTTGATATTATAAATATATTCATCACTCTTGGATGTATGTTTGCAAGCATTATAATCTCTCCTTTTGCCCCTCTTTGTCACAGAATTTTATATAAATGGAGTCATGTATATGCACTCTTTTTTGTCTGGCTTCTTTCCCCTAGCAAAACTGTATAGTTCTTTATAGTTTGGCACATAATTACATGCAGTGAAACTCAACCACTGTGAGTGACTTTTCACAGTAGTGCGCCTATTATTCTAATAGTATTCATCATCAAATAAAATCCTGTGCCAATCACTCTCCATGATCCTCTAACCCTTCAGCTGGAATCATCCAGCAGCTTATGTTCTGTCTGTGTAGATTTGCCTTCTCTAGTAATTACATAGTAGTGGAATTGTATAATATGCTACCTTTTGTGTGGGACTTCTTTCACCTAGCCTGTTTTCAGAAGGCCCATCTGTGTTGTTGCCATGTATCAGAACTTTTCATAACCAAGTTATACTCCATCATATAGATGTACCACATTTCATTTACCCATTTATTAGTTGGTGGACATGTCCACTTTTTAACTATTATTAATAATGTTGCTATGAACTGTGGTGAACAAAATTTTGTATTAATTTGTTTTTAATTATCTTCGGTATATCTATTACAAAATTCCTCCAAAATTCCACTGTTGCTTTGCATGTTTGTGTTATCTTTTCTTGGACTTGTGCTTTCCCCTATTTGTAGTCTCATGCTCATAAATATAGTAAGTAACTGAGATTTCCTTTAAGGGGAATAGAAACTAGCATAAGTAGATTTGAAGGTTTCCTTTAAACTGATTCTCCAAGATCAATAGTTAGGCACTATAGAAATGTTTATAAAGAATCAAAGGCCATCTCAAAAGTGCATAATGATTAGAGTCTTTGTAACATCACAGAGAGGGAGAAATGAAACCTGGAATAAAACCTGCTCAGTATAGAGTATTGTCCAGGAGACAAAAAATTGCTTCTGACATGTATGGAAGGAAACAGACAAAAATGGATATGAAAATGATTCCCCTCCTTTTGACATTTTAAAATATTCTTGTATTGATTTTTGGAGGCTCCAGCATACTTTACTACTGCTTGACTGTGCTGGACTGATCTGATCAATATCTGATTTATCAAGCTTAGAATGAATTGGGCAGATCTAATTAAAACTACTTCAGTATCATTATTGAAATAGTGGCTTATTTTGGAAATCAGATGCTAATTAAATGTGGACTATATCATCCATTTACACAGCTGTGTTTTTACCATTTTTACCTGCCTCATTTCATTTTAAAATGTACACATATTCTTTGAATAGAGAGGTCTAACACTGATTTTAAAATTATATAAATAGAACCACTTAGCTGTGGCATTTGAATTCTACACTTTCTATTCTATCTTTTCAAATCTTGTCTATCTAATAGGAGACTGTTGCTATTAAGGTAATATTGGCTCCATGTGTGTTCATTGTGCGACACATGGCCACTTTTATTTTATTTTTTAAGTAGATGACCTTGTGTTTCAGCACATTCATTTTAATGATTACAAGTTCATTTTAATGAACAGAAAAATAGTGTGAGTTTTTATCTGTGTCTATAAGTGTTGACAGTCGTGGTGATTTACATCCCATCTCTTAAACTTTAAATATTAACATTCTTCTGCTGATTTCATAGAACGCCTCAATGGAACGAATTGCAACCACCATTTAATGCAAACCACCCTCTTCTCCTCGCTGCAGATGCAGTACAGTATTATCAGTTCCTGCTCGCTGGTGGTAAGTTGTTCTGATTGGTCTTTCTTCTCTATGGGATTTTCAGATTTTGTCTTCAGGTGCTGACTTTTAAAGCATATGTGCATGTTACCACTGGTCTATAGGTGAAATCTTTGGATAATCTGACTGAGCCAAGTCAAGATATTAAACTATAATCCAATACCTTAGGGCATGTGAAGTATGTCTGTTTAATGAAAAACAGGTAGATCGATGGAGAATATTTGGTGGGCATACACACAGAAAACCTCACCCTCAAAACTACTGGGATATAATAGACCATTTCATAAAGCTTTGAATCTGTCTCTCAGAGGCAAAAAAAAAAAGTAAGCACTTTTCAGTGTGAAAACTGTCAGTAGATTTATCTTTTTTATAGAATTTTACTTGCAGTAATGAAGTAATGATTTCAACTCCATTACATTTTACTCCCCATCCTCCAGCTCTCCAGTGGCCACACTGGACTTCTATCCCAGGGCCTCAAGCATTCTAGCAAGTGATTTAACCTTGAGCTAGTCTTTTGTTTACTTATTTTCCTGTTTAAACTCTTAACTTTGGTAGAGATTGAACAGGGTTCATCAAGCTAGGTATATAGCTCCCCCACTCTTTTTTTTTTAACATGGGAGGCATGAAAAGACAATTTAGTATTTATTATCCAGTTTGTGTTCATAGAATTAAAAATTCTTTACAATTATAATTCAATTTTTTAGAATGGACTGAATCCTAATTTAACTTGATGGCTCTTGAGTACTGCATGTTTTTAAAAAGCTTCCTAGAAATCAACATTGACATGTTTTTAATAGAGTTTTCTTGTACTCAACTTATTATGTTGCCTCGTATATTGTAAAGTATGAATTAAAATAGATCTCGAAATATTTTGTTTCATTTTTATAATGTGTTACATATTATGCTAGAATCTGAAAAATATTAGGGCCTTTGCTGTACAGTTATGAAACTCTACAGCTATAATAACTAGTTGGCAGTCCCGGACAGTGCTGAACCTGGTGCTTCTTGTAGTGTATGTTCATCAGGTGCCTGTTTTGTTTCAGGCACTCAGAATTTAAACGTGAACAATACCTTGCTTCTGTACTCAATTCACTCTCAGGTTTGGGAGACAGATCTTTAGTAAGTACATGTGCGGAACTATAGGAGCAGGGTCTTGCAAAGTCATCTCAGAGTGCGCAAATTTTAGTGGTTTTAAAATTTGTTCAAGAAGCAGATTATATAAAAATTCGTAGTTTCTAGAACTAAGTATATAGTTTTAGAGCTAAAGCATGTAGTTAATTTACATAAGAACTGAGAAAACCATGACATAATACATGGTACTAAAAAATCATGGGTACATTGTCCATTACATTTCAGAAGTGGCAGAAATAACTAATTGTTGAATTAAGTGTAGTTGACTCAGAGTTTATATTGTTCTTTGTTTTGTTATTTTGGTACCTCCTCTGTTTCTTTAGTAGAAAAACAATAACAAGTTTGAACTATTTAAGAAGCTATTAAGCCCAAAATAAACCTTCTATATATCTTAATATTTTTTCCTGGTGATTAAAGTGGTTCATATTACTTGTTTGTTCTTTTAACAAAAATCCCTAGGTATATAGTTTAAGAACCACTGCTGTCAGTAGTACTAAACCATCAGATATTTTCACACTAGAATTAGATTCTATTTGGTTTAATTAATTAAGTAATTTGGAGGTGCAGGCACTGGAAGCCAGGACCAGGGCCTTACACATGCTAAGTGTCCTCCTACTGAGCTCCGTTCCTGACCCTACAGAATTGTATTTTAGAAAGCCAACTCCTGTGCAGCATTGCAGCAGGAGGGCTGGAGAAAGGGAGTGGAGGCTGGGTGATCCCAGAACAAGAAGGGAGCTCTAATTAAGAGAAGGAATTTGAGTGACAGTCCTGGATATACCAGTATAGTACAGAACTGAGGCTGTTAAGTAATGCAGATGTGAACATTTGGGTCAGAGGAATAATATCCTGATATACCACTGGTTAAAGCAATACTTTACCTGCTGATCTGCAAGTTAAAACATCAGTCAGAAGACTTCCTTATTGTCTAGCTTTCTTTCCTTGTCTCCTCATTGAAAAGTATTCATTCAGAAAGGTATTCTACTCCTTAAAAAACAAGTATACCGGACCTGATATCAAAGTTTTCTTTTGTTTGTTTTGTTTTATCCATCCATATTTAAATCATCTCTTGACTGAGGATATCACTCATTGGTACAGTGCTTGCCTAGCATGTGCAAGGCCCAATTTAATCTTCAGCATTGCCCAAAACAAAAACAAAGAAACAAACGAAAAATTAAAGAAAATTGCATATTAATTCCCAACTTGAAGACCATGATAAATACCTTTCTAAAATTACTTTTATGGGTTAGGGATTTAGCTCAGTGGTGCTGCTGCCTGCCTTGCAAGTGCAAGGTCCCAGGTTAGATCCCTGGTACCAAAAAATAAACAATAAAATTACTTTTATGTTCCAGAACTCTAATGCAGACTTTACAAATATTGCATGCATTTTCCTTTCTTGTATTTGGATATTGGATCAAGTGAAGCCAACTTTTACAAACTCCGGAAATTATAATAATAGTAGACAAAGAATGATGTAAATGGAAATAGGAAAGAGACTTTGTCTCAGGGAGAAGAGAGTAGGCAAGCAGGATGTTTAACAAGGAATCCCTGCTCCCCTTCCAGTCTTGTCATCATAATAAATACACTCCTCGTTCATAAACAGAGTTCTGCATATGTGGCAAAAGGGTAGCTGGTGGGAGAAGGAAAGGGGGAAGTATCCAAAACACCAAAGGCTTCTACTCACCTTTAAAGTAAAATAAGTAAAAAACTATAAACTCTGTATTCTTTTGTGGGGTACTCAGGGTTGAACTTGGGACCTTGCACTTGCAAGGCTAGTGGTGGGACCACTGAGCTAAATCCCCAGCCCTAAATTCTGTTTGTTAACTATAGCAGTTAACTATTCCTTTGTATAATAGTTGAACAGAGTGACAGAAATTGAGGAATACTGATGTTTATTGAGTAGTTTTTTGTTAAATGAGATCTTGGTGTAATGGCCCATACAAAAATTACAATAGAGGCAGTGATGACTTCCTTGTTGTTCTGTTAAATGATACAACATTGCTATTTTTAATAAGATAAAAAGTCTAGTATCTGCAATTTTTGGATGGCTCAACCTAGTTAATTAGGTCATTTATATATGAAAACTAAATGCATGGATAGTGATCTAATCTTGCTGTTTAATTCAGTAAAAGTAAAAGTCAAGAATCTATAGTCCCAAGTTTCCCTTGGATATAAAATTTTAGTGGAATAGTTTATAAAAAGATTTATGATTTTTATGCTAACACTATATTTTGCTCTGAAAATAAAAGTTACATACTATACTTACCTTTTTTAATAAAGGCATTTTACTGAAGTGTATTGCATTGCCAGAAACAAAGCTAAACCTTTGAACAGACTAATAAATATCACTCAGCTTTGAATGTGAATCTAGAGTAGATAATAACTTTTTCTTTAGTCTGCTCTCAATCTTCCAAATTGTAAATTAAAAGCAGAGCTTATAGAGTTGATTTGGGAAAACTTTATTTAGAGGAAAAGTATACTGTCCTCCTTTTCTTTCAGGTAATTTGGCCACAGTAGTATTTTTAAGTTGTTTGTATTAACTAGTTTAGTGGGGAGTGGGTGTCAGATTTGGGACTTTATCCAAAACAGTCACTATATATATGGGATCCCAAGTTCACAGGAGAAAGCTTAAGGGAGGTTAAAAATTATTTTGAATTGAGTGAAGTTGATTCTAGAACACATACTTATCTTACAATAATACACTTTTAAACAGTAGATTTAACTGCTTATACATGCACCACTTTGACTGTCAAGAAAATTGTGCCAAATGCCACCACAAAATTATGAGATTAGTGATGACCAAGGTTTTGGTTCAGAGTGGGAAAGAAAGAGACATGTGCCTTTTCAAGATAGAATTGTGGTGATGGGACAATTTCACATCTTGACTGTGGTAAAGGTTAATACAGATTTACGTGTGGTAAGACTGAACCAACCTCCTCACATAAAATAAATTTGTTATAAAACTATACATAAAATTGCTGATATCTGTGTAAAATTTTAAAATTATATCGATGGCAGTTTCCTAGTTCTGCAAAAGATGATGTGTACATAATATATTACTGTACTATTTTACAACTTCTTATGCCTCTATAATCATTTCAAAAATTTAAAGAGAAAAATTGTAAAATGACATTACATCAGGATTCAACACCAGTTTCCAGGACTGACTGCCTATTTTAGATAAGAGAAGGGGCTGAAGTCCATGATCTCAGCTTTCACACTGAGCAACAGGGAAAAGTAGAGCAAATTAAAGCAAAAGAAGGAAAATAATAAAGATCAGAGTGCAAATTGATGAATTTGGAAAGATAAAAACAATACAGAAAAACCAATGAAACAATAGTATGGGTTTCTTCCCACTGGGATTGTATTATTCTTGGGTCTGTGCGTTTATTATTTTCTTCAAATTTGACAATTTTCTTCCAGTTCTACTTTCAAATATTTCTTCTGTCTCTCTTCTTCTGTCTTTTGACTCCAGTTATATTTCTGTTGGCCACTGGATAATTGCCTTGCTGACTGAATTAGTGTTCTTGCTCCCTCACTCTTACTTTCCTCTTTGTTTGCTTTTGTATCACTTTTAATTCTTTATTTTAAATATACTAATTCTTATATGCCTTGCTTATATCTTCCATTTCCAGTATCAGATATTTTGTCTCCAGAAGTTCTACTTAGGTTCTTTTAAGTAACTTCCATTTCTTTTCTCACTATATACATTTTCTCTCTCTCTCTCTTTTTGAGACAGGGTCTTGATGTGTAGTTCAGACTGTGTACTCTAGGCTGGCCTCAAACTCCCAGCAATCCTTCTGCTTCAGCTTTCTGAGTGCTGGGATTATAGGCATGAGCCACCACGCCCTGCCTATATACATGTTTTGATGTGT